GGTGTCGCTCTTTCTAGTCTTGTGGGGGGCCTGAGGCTGGATCCCGTCTCTTTTTGCCGCGACACCATCTGGAAACATGACCGTCCAGCTGCATGGGAGGGAGGGCCTGGGTGGAGGCCGCGAGGCAGGAGACTGAGAAACCGCTGGAGCCAAACCTCTTCTTCCCACCTCACTGAACCCTCCCTGACTTTTGATGGAGGACGGCCCTCGGCACCAGTGTTCCCTCTTAAGCTGAGTGAGCGTGAGCTAGCTCACCGTTTTTTAGCCTCCGGCTCACACCATTTTTGTCTCAGCTCAGGCAGGAGGGCTCCAGGGCAAACGAATTCATGCAGCAGCCGAATCGCTTGCTCACAACTTTCATGGCAGTCGCTCACAGAGTAGCATGTTCGCTCCCCAGACTCCACAGCTTAGAGGGAGCACTGCTCAGCACCCCTCGCGCCTTTGCCCTCGGAGGGCCTCTGGGGTCCCGTCCTGCTGGCCGGTGTGGAGCTCAGCAACCAGCTGGCTCTCCCCTCGCCACGTCTGCTGGCAGCCCCCACCCCCGGCTGGCTGGGCACCCCTCTCTTCCGGGAGCAGCCAGCCCAGCAGGGTGGGAGGCGACAGTCCCTCCCTCCTCCCCCGGAGCTGCCGGCCACCAGCACATCGAGGGCGCGTGGACTGCGCCCGCCCGACTATCACAGGGCTGGAAGGCTCCCCCCCTCCCCCAACGTGACGGAGCAGCCCGGTTCCGGATCGAAGGCAGTAAGAGCCAGGACTGCCCCCCCCCCCCCGCCCCACTCTGTCCGCAGGATATCTTCAAGACGAGGATGAGGATGAGGAAGCCGAAGGCCGGCATGTAGACCCCGATGGAGACGAAGCGGGAGAGCGAGGGCAGCAGGTAGAAGAAGTAGGACTGGTGTAGGCGTTCCAGCAGGTTGTTCAGCTTCCGGAACATTCCCTCCAGCGTTCTGGGGAGGAAGGCCAAGAGTATGGGGGACCACATCACCCCCTCCTGAACCCGCTCGTCAGCACCTCCGCCCCCCCGGGCATCCTGCTGCCCCCTCGGCCCCATGACCGGCTGGCTGGCACACTCACTTGCCCACGGCGCCCATGTCGTACTTGTACTGGCGGAAGCTGTTGATGCCCCGCACCGTGACGGCCTCGATGTGGTAGCGCAGAAAGAGGCCGTGGTCACCCTGCGGCCGGCCAGAGCCCTGCTTGAGCACCATCAGGAGCAGCGTCTGCAGAGAGTGCAGGTAGGCCGGCAGCGAGTCCCAGTCGGAACGCTGCAGCTGCGTTTTTGGGGGTGGAAAGCGGAGGGGCGGGGTCAGCCAGGCCTGGGGACAGAGCAGCCCCCTGGCCCAGGCCCCCCCCTTCCCTGCCCCTCCCGGACCGGCCACCGGGAACCCAAGGAGCCTGCCCAGGGGCTCAGCGGCAAGGGAGGGTCCCGCACGGTCCAGCCAGGAACCGTCCGCTCTGCAGCCACTCTCAGTTCGTGGGCTTGCGCAGGCAGACAGCTGGAGGGACCCTGGACTGGCCGGGGCCTTCGGGCTCCTGATAGCGTCCCTTCCCCCCCCCTAGGTCATTTCCCAGAAAAAGAGGTGCAGGAGCTCATTTGCATATGCCACACACCCTGACAAAGGGCAGGCATGTTTAAAATGAGTTATACACATGAGTTTAAATCCCCACCCCCCACCCTGAGTCTCTCTGCAAAAGTGGAGAGGCTCAGGGGGAAAGGGAGGCAGTCGTGCCTGGGTTCCCTGCCCGCTGTTCTCCAGGTGCCCTGTGGCTGCGGAGCACCTGGAGAAGAGCCGGCAGGGAACCCAGGTATTTAAGTCCCCCCCTCCCTGAGAGTCTCCGCGGGCGGGGGGGGCGGGGCTTGGACTCTTTTCTGCCGGAGTGCCGCTCCAGGGCACTCCGGCAGGAAATGACCCCTGTCCACCCCCCACGTGTCCCTTCACCTTTCCCTGGATGGTGCAGAGGAGGTTGCTCTTCTGGCAGAAGGCGTAGAAGAGGTTGACCAGGTCCAGGTTGGGCAGCTGCCCGTTCAGGCCCTCCACGGCCAGGTCAAAGCTGGTGATGACGTCGCTGCTCAGCTCCAGGGAGACGGCGGCCTGGATGGCTCCGGCCCGGCCCAGCATCCCCGACGACTGGATCTCTGGGGAAGAAGCGAGAGGCCCAGCTGGTGAGGGGCTGCCTGGCACAGATCTATCCCCGGAAGAACACCCGGGCACACAAGGGGGGCTGCCCCAGTGACATTCGTTCTGCTCTCTTATGCCCCGCTTTTCTCTCCAGTGGGAACCCAAAGCGGCTAACGTCACCCTCTTCATTTCATCCTCACAACAACCCCCCCCCCCCAAGGCAGGTTGGGCTGAGAGCGTGCAACTGACCAAAAGTCACCCAGCAAGATTCTGTGGCACAAGCAGGGATTCGAACCCAGGTCTTCAGGATAAGTCCAGTTGCTGCTCTGGGTCCTTTCAAAGTCACCCAGGGCTAAGACATAAGCAGGCAGGTTTTAGGACCACGGGGGTCTGCAAGTTCCTCTGCATGGACTGACGGCAAGCATCCTCACGCCACTTGGGCAAATGCGACAATGGAGGGGGGGGCACAGAGTTCAATGCCTCCTGTTCCCAAAGGAAAGAGGTCAAGAGCTGCCGCCACTCACAGCCACTCCGCCTCCAGTCCTTACGCTACAGCACAGCCACAGCACAGGCGGATCGCTAGCTGGGACTCGATACTTCTAACTGGTACCGAGGAGGGGCCAGTCCACAGTTAGTTCTCATAGAAAACGGAGTTGGATTTCACTGCAGGTAGATCCAGGTGGGTTGCCTTGTGGGTCCGAAGCAGCTGGACAAAGTTGTGAGCCCAGCGGCTCCTCGGGACCAACAAAGTTTAATTCTGGGTATAAAAGCCTTCATGTTCAAGCTCACACCTTGAATAAAACTTTGTTGGGTCTTAAAAGTGCCACTAGATTCCAACTTTGTTCTGGTTTCCACTACCTTTCCCAGTGCAAAGGGACCTCATCAGAAAAAGAGAAGAAGAGGAAGAAGAGCCAGTTTGGTTAAGTGTGCGGACTCTAATCTGGGAGAACCGGGTTTGATTCCCCACTCCTCCACTCGCACCTGGCTGGATGACCTTGGGTCAGTCACTAGTTCTGTCAGAGCTTTCCTTGAAAAAGAGCAGTTTGTGTCGGAGTTCTCTCAGTCCCCCCCCACCTCACAGGGTGTCTGTTGTGGGGAGGGGAAGGGAAAGCAGAATCTGGCGCAAAGTCCCTTCCAGTCAAGGGGAGAGGTCGATTAGATCTCGGATGGGAGCTGTGGCCCAGCAGAATCGGCCAGGTTCTGACTGCTTGTGTTTGGCAGCAGGAGCCACGACTCTCGATAGCTGGTCCCCCCGAAAGTCTTCGTCTCAGAGGTGCTCCTGGACTCAGATGCAGCTCTCCTGAGACCTGCCTTTGTAAGCCACGTCCGGGGAATACACTGTGGTTTTGCAGGACTGTCCCGAGGACAGAGGCCCGTGTGGGACATACGCGAGTTGCCTGTGCCGCCAGCTTGGCTTGAGGGGGGGGGGGCAGCCCGAGGAAGCCTCTGCCCGGGGAGCTGGAGAAACCGGGACAGAAGCTGGGAGCCGAAAGGGGCCGGCAGAAGCGCCTCTGGGTCCGTGTGAAGGGAAGGCCCCACCCCGGCACAGCTCACCGGTGACGTTGACGTTGTGGTACGCCTCCAGCCAGGCCTCCATGCCGACGAGGTCGTGCTCATTCACCAGGAAGATGATGTCCTTGGCCCAGTAGATCTGACCTGGGGGAGAAAGGCGGCCTGAACTCTGCCCCACGTGAGTCACCAACCACAGGGGCTTCAGGGCATAAGAGAAGCCAGTGTTGGGTCAGGCCAGTGGCCCACCCAGTCCAACACTCTGTGTCACACAGTGGCCAGAAATACCAGGGGCCATCAGAAAGGTCCAGCAGCAGAGCCAGGACTCCAGAAGCCCTCCCACTGTTGCCCTCCCCCCCCCAAGCACCAAGAAGACAGAGCATCCCTTGCCCCAGACTGAGAGTTCCTATCTATACCTTGTGGCTAAGAGCCACCGATGGACCTCTGCGCCATATGCTTATTCAGTTCCCTCTTGAAGCTATGCTTGTAGCCGCCACCACTTCCCATGGCAGTGAATTCCACGCATTATTTACTCTTTGGGTGAAGAAGGACTTCCTTTTACCTGTTCTAAGCCTACTGCACCATCATTTCATGGAGTGCCCACAAGGAGTTCTCGTATGGTGAGAGAGGGAGAAAAGGACTTCTTTCTCGACCTGCTCTATCCCATGGGTGGTTTTGTAAGCATCTATCGTATCAACTCTCAGTCGTCGTTTCCCAGGCTTTTAAAACACACACGCACACGAAATGAAATGAAACATCTGTCCTAAGCTAAACCCGCCCACCCCCCACCCTGGCCTCACTGCCGTCTTGAGCAGCTGCCTGCCCCCCTGGAGGGCCACCGGCTCACCTCGGAAGTAGGACGCCAGGGCCAGCATCAGTCCCACCGCCTGATTGTTCTGCTGGCCTTGGCTGCAGGGAACGCTCAGCACCAGGGATTCCGTGCTGGCCGCCCGGGGGGCCCTCAGGATCCCGTAGACGTTGGTCCCCTTCACCATCTGCAGAGAGGAGGGGTCAGGCTGCAGACGCCATCTCTCTCCAGCCCCACGGGCTGGCACCCGCCTGGCAAGAGAGAGCTCCCCCCCCCATACACACCCTCCCACTTCTACGCACGAGTCTCATCCCCTGGCCGCCCCCCGGCCCTCCCCAAGGCCCTCCGTCAGCCCGGCACCTACGTATCTCTCTCGCAGCTCATCGGGGAAGGGCAGGGTGCGGGCGAAGCTCTGCTTGTACACCTCCAGGCCCAGGTTCCACATGGTCTTCTCCAGCCAGGCCACCGGCATGCCCCTGGGGACAGCGAGAGGAGCGTGAGTGGGCACGACCCCCACCCCCTGCCCAAACTCCACAGCCCCCGCAGGGCTCCCGGGCAGGCGGAAGAAACGGTCTGATTAATTTCCCGGGGGGGGGGGGGCGGGGCTCCCCTGCCTCACCAACCAGCTAATCTAGGCAAGATTTGTGGCTGCTAAATTACTGACCGCGTGCCCGGGATGCGGAGTCCTCAGTGCCCCAGGGACCCACTGAAATCAAGACACTTTGCATTGCCCACAAACAGGCCCCAAGCTCTGACTCTGGAGGATCTCCAAGGGAAAGGAGCAGGCCCGAGAGTGTCCCTTCCCATCTCTGGTACTCCAATTTGGCTCAGTTCTTCAGACTCCCTCCCTGAAATCAGGGGCTGTGGCAGGGGTCCGTGCCCCACACTTCCCGCAGTGAGCACAGAAGCAATGAATTCACTGAGCTTCTGTGCCACCTCCCCGAATTCTTTTAGCAATCCCTGTATTCCTGTGCCATCTAAAAGCCCGAGTGTATAGTATTTTGTTGTAAGCTGCCATGAGCAGTGTTCCCTCTAAGTTGAGTTAGTGTGAGCTAGCTCACAGGTTTTTAGCCTCCGGCTCACACATTTTTGCCTTAGCTCAGGAAGGATGGCTCCGGAGCAAACTAATTTATGCAGTAGCCAAATTGCTCACTCACAACTTCAATGCCAGTAGCTCACAAAGTAGAATATTTGCTCACAAGACTCCACAGCTTAAAGGGAACATTGGCCATGAGCCCTGTTTCTAGGGAAGGGTGGCCTAGTAAATGTAATTTAATAAATAAACAATGTTTATTGTTATATCTACAAAAAGTGTGAAGTAGAGAAGGTCAGATAACAGAGAGGATGGCAGAAAAAATCATGAAAGGAATAGACGAAATTAAGGTAATTAAATTTAAAGAACTTGAATATACATTTCTCACAAAATGGTACAAGGCACCAGCCCAATTAGCTAACATGACCCCAGGATTAAGCTCCCTCTGTTGGCATTGTGGACAATCTAAAGGCTGGTTTGCACAAATGTGGTGGGAATGCAGAGAAGCAAGGGCATTCTGGGAAGAAATTACTAAAGCTATAAGGAAAGTAAGTAAAATAACACTAAACACAGACCTCAGCTTAATGTTGATAAGTACAATGGGAAGCCCGATAGTGGATAAGAAGGATCAAACCTTAGTTAAGGCTATGATATCGGCGGGGAAAGCAGTTATAGCTTTCAGTTGGAAAGACAAAAGTAGATGGACAGTTGAAATCCGGCACAACAATTTGTTTGAGTTTATACAGTCAGACATCGTGGCAACTATACGCAAAGAGACAATATGGGAAGAAAAACCTGCAGAAGTTTGGAATAGATGGAAGACCTACTTGGAATGGATATCAAAGGAAGGAAGAAAAGACATTCAGTGGAAGATTCAGACTTTGTGCCCGTGGCTGGGGTCAAAAGAATAAAGACAACAAGAAGATAGGGAAGGGAGGAGGGAGGAAGGGGAAGGGGAGGAAATTGTAAGAAATTGAATCACATGCACTGTAGGAGTCTAAAAAGAAAAAAAAACCTAATCAAAATATACGATAAAAACAAACAATGTTTATTGTTGTCTTGATGCTTCTAGCAACCCATTTCTCTACATTCCTTTTGCAAGCCTAACTACTGACTTGTATTTCTTTCGCCAGAGCCTGTGGTCCCTCCTGCTGGAGTCTGGGGTAGACCGTCTATTTTTCAAAACAAGCCTCTTTCCTTCTTATAGCTTCATTGTTAACTTGAGCCATTAGCCACTGCGGCCTGCTCTCCGGCTGGGTGGTCCCTTTCTGGGCCGGAGGTTTGCATTCTCCCCGAGCCTCAACTCGCCTGGTTTTGAAGAGGGGTTTCCAGACATCCCGGCAGGATTGGACTTCCATTTCCCGCTCTTAATTCCCTTCTGCCGAGTCCCTCCCGAAGCCTTCCACAAGGAGAAGTCCAGAGAAGGCCAGCTCTCCTGACCTTCGCTGCAAGGCTCAGCCTGGGCACGCTCTGGGTGGGCATGGTCCCCACAGACGGGCGAGGCCTCCTACTTGTGTGGGTGCCCAGAAAGGGCCCACAGCAGGAGCCGGGCATGGTGTGTGTGTGTGTGTACCTTCGCTGCAAGGCTCAGCCTGGGCACGCTCTGGGTGGGCATGGTCCCCACAGACGGGCGAGGCCTCCTACTTGTGTGGGTGCCCAGAAAGGGCCCACAGCAGGAGCCGGGCATGGTGTGTGTGTGTGTGGGGGGGGGGGTCCTGTGCAGGCCGGCAGCCCGAGGCCGGCCATTCTAGGGGCAGGAGGAAACTCACCCCGCCTTCTTCTTGTGTCCGGCGAACTCTCGGGCGTAGGAGAGGGCCCGCTCCCCGTACACGAACTGCTCCTCCACCATGGTCAACCCCATGGAGTTCTCCGACATGTAGGCCCGCAGGGTGGTAACCAGCCCAGCCCCACCAGGAAGCTGCTGCTGCTGCAAGGGAGGGTGAGGAGGCCCAAGTTTGCTCCCCAACACACAGCCCAGGCAGAAGACGCGCCATCAGCCCTCACAGAGGGATGGAGGGGGGCAGCAAGGCACCTTCTTCCTCAGCCACCACTGGGAAAAGGAAGAGGAGAGCTGGGAAAAGGAAGGGCAGCAAAAATTAAACTGACTTTTCCCGGCTCTCCTCTTCCTTTTCCCAGCGGTGGCCGAGAAAGAAGGCACCTTGCCGTCCCCCCGTCCCTCCTTGAGGGCTGACGGTGCGTCTCTCTGCGGAGCGACTCCCTCCTCCCCGGGCGCCTGCATGCCCAGGAAAAGGAAAGCAGCCGGAAGAGCTAGAGAAAAGCAAGGCTGCACACACCGGGGCAGTGGGGGCAGCTCCTCCTTCTGCTGGTGCTGGTGCCGCCGCGGCGCCTGGCTCCATGGAGCCAGGCTCCTCTGTCTCCTAGTGTCGGAAGCGCGCCGGGGTCCTGTGGGCTGTGCCACTGCCTTCTTCCGCCATGCTGGCCAGGCGCGTCAGCGGCCACCCCTGCCTCTCCTTCTGCGCCCTAAGGGCCGACCCGCACTCTAGGCGAGTGCCTAGATCGCCTAGCGGGTGAGCCAGCCCTGCGTGCACTTAACCACTACACCAAATTGGCTCTCTTAGGCTCTTTTAGGATTGAGGTGGCACCAGTGTTCCCTCTAAGCTGAGTTAGTGTGAGCTAGCTCACAGTTTTTTAGCCTCCGGCTCACACATTTTTGTCTTAGCTCAGGAAGGATGGCTCCAGAGCAATCTAATTTATGCAGTAGCCAAATCACTCCCTCACAACTTTAATGCCAGTAGCTCACAAAGTAAAATTTTTGCTCACAAGACTCCACCGCTTAGAGGGAGCATTCCCCAGACAGAATGGAATCCCTTGAAAAACAACAGAACAA